TTGAAGTTTGTCTTCAGATCTCTAAAGTTTGCCTGCTTATTCTAACTTCATTAATCGAAACATATCTTGTTGCCCCTTCTCTTCACGGTCTCTGTCATCACACTTGAGGTCTTAGCAAGTTGTTAAAAGTTCTAATGTACTACTATTTTCTGTAAAAAGTCTCAAAGTTCTAAATTCCATCCCTATCTTACTTGACAGTGGGGAACAGAACTATTTCACGCACTTGAATGGTTTTACTGCCAGCTGATCAATTTTTATCCAAAATATTTGCATGACTGAAATGCAAAAAAAAAATGAATTATTACTAATAGTTTCGGAAGGCATTATCTGGTGAAGTCAAAAAATTTCCAAGATATACTTGTCTTCAAATACATATACGTTGAAATTTCCTTTCTCCTTCGGACCTTCTTGTTCTCATTAATATTTTCATTACTCTTCACTCACGCTTACAATGGCGTCCTCATCGATTTCGGACAGGGTGGTAATTTTTGCAAGGCTTCTCAAGATTTCACCAGTAGAATGCAAAAACTGCAAAACTGTTGGGCAATTATATCGTCACGATATCTGCAATATTTAAGATTCAGAATATATTTATGGTGGGTTTTCCTTAAACTTAGCGCTTTCATTTTCGTAGTTTTGGATTCATCTTTGAAGGATTTCATTTTTTGTTTTCACTGCACTATACCAGTTATTCGATAACTATTCAGTAGGTTCCCACAGGATTTCGGTTCAGGTCAACAACACACAATTAGGATAATAAAGATAATCACAGCAACCAGTTTTACACAACAGTTCAGTGAAGTAATTCAGTCTGTAGTTCTGTTCCACTATTTATCATTACGCTACAAAAAAATTATATACCCTTGATGGACTGTCAAACAATTTCAAAAACGACGCATAATTTCAAAATTCGTCGTTCTTCTGTTCAGGATTCTTCGCAATATTTTGAAGGTTACAGCTATGGAGGAAGCTGTTTGATTTGATTTCGTTTGGACTTTTGCCTTGCCTCAACATTATTTAGCATTGATTCCCCTTACGTATCATTTCCATGCTAATTCAAAACATTGGAAAGAACTTTCTGTAAGTTATTTATCGTTAACAGTTACTGTTAACAGTGTTTAATTCGGAATTTGATATTTGGACAATATTATGCACTTCAAAATTGAAAAACTACGATTTTGGGAGATTGTGGTAACTGGGAATGAAAGTACAGGAAATATTTCATGAAGGGCATATAATATTTGTGGAGCAAAGAGCCATAACTGGTGTTTCATTTCGCGAAGTTCTAACTCCACAATATTGCTTTCTGTGTTCCATGTGTAAAGTCCATATTTCTGCTCAGATTACAACATATTTTAAACAAAGAAAACTGTTTCTCTGTTTCCTCCGTAACCTGCTTCAAAGTAGAAATAAAAAAGTAGAATACATCCGTATGATGAAGGATCCAAATTAAAAGAGTTCATTTGACGACAGTTCATAAGCGCTGTTTCTCAGAATTATTAGAGATCGAAAATCTCCCTGCGAGAAGCGAGCTAACAATGCTAACTTAATGATACAGTTTTGGAGAACTAATGAAAGTCACAAGTAACGATCTCCAAAGAGTCATTTTTACAATAGATGGAATTATGTTAAGACCTGACAAAGGCGAACTTATAAGTGATGAGTTCCTGACAAGCCGTTTATGAATGCATGAACTACACTCGACAATGGTTATAATGAAAAAACTGTCGCCAGTAGCATGCAGTGCATTATCTATTGGCAGCTTATTTCGACCCATTTTTTACTTTTAGAGTTCTATAACATAATTATTTTCCCTTTCAAGATTTGTGCCGCTTTGTTGTAACACTTGAACAAATAGCACAATACGCTTGCATTGCAGAGAGGTTGCTACATCCAGAAATATTTGTGCCGCTGACAAAATAACCTGTTAATCGGCACTTGCATTGCATCTATTCTCACAGAACTTTCAACTTTACAATCAAAATTACAACAAAATATAACAAATACTGGATCATTCCTAAACGTCAGAAAAAGCAGTTGGTGATCTGTAGAGCCTTCTGACCTTCAGAATGCTGGAATGTTTGGTATCAAAATCATTTCTACCCAGAATCATCTTTCTTTTTTGCAGCATTTGACAGCGTTAACATTTCTTCATTGGCTGGATGGAAACGATCTTCAATTTCTTCAATTGTTTCTGGTAATGGTTTGCCCATTGTTTCAGGTATACAAAATATTACAATTAAACCTGCTACCAGTGAAAGACTACCAAACGGAATGATCATTGCCCATGTTCCAAACTGTTCCACCTGTAAAAAGAAAAAAATTTCTGAAACATACAAATGCATTTCCCAAGTACACCATCCTTTCTTATAAGTGGAAGAAAGAAAAATTTCTGATGCCCAATGAAGTATTTTCTTCAAGCCGCAGTACATGGGAAACAAAACACTGCTGTAGTTTCCAATGATTTTCCAGTAAACTGGATTCTGATGTGTCTCCTATATCACAATAATGCACAGTGGGTTGAATTTTGAAGATAACATACAATCCACATAACAATATAACAAGACAGGTTGGCGCCAACACGAGCAACCATCGAACAGCATCCCACTGCTGAATTACGAATCACTGTAGGATACAATTCGGGAGTAACAGTATAAATTACTGCATAGCAGCCAGTTATAGAAGCTTTTGCAATTAAAAATTGTATGAGGCTAATAATCCAATGCACTGAAATGATTTTGAATAGGAACGAACTATATACAGTTTAACTGAGAAGACGAATAAAAAAAATGGTAACATCGTCAATATTCTCAAGAAACTATTGCGAAGCCCGATTCGCTAAGTAGTTGCATCATAAAAATTGCAGTGAACGATTGGATGATCTGTGATATGAATAGCTATGAAAGCCATGTTTGTTGCAAAAATCGGTTCTTCAAAAAAATCTGATAAGTATGGACGGAAAACTGAAAAAACTGGGTGTTTTTAGAAAACTGTACCTTCAGAAGGGAGAATGAGGTTAGAAAGCATGCATAATGCAGCAAGAAAGTATCCTCCGGCGAAGAGTGGTTTCCGGCCAATTCTATCGATTAATGCAAAGAGCAGCAAAAGAGCTGGTATTTCAGCTACACCACCACTAATAAATGTTCCATAAAAATCACCACCAAGAAAATCCGTTTTCATCGAAACACCGTAATAAATCATCGACACAACCTATGAAATGTTAAACATATAAAAAGAAAGCTGTTCGCACACTGTTCTAATCAGTTTTTTGAATCCAGCCACTTGTGAAAAATTGGATAACGATCTATTAATGTGTGAACATTTTTGCAATTAAATCTCACTGGCCATAAGAAAAGGCATGCAAATGTACGCAATCGTATGCGTGGTGTCCGAACAAGATCAAGATAGTTATATTTTCTTTGTGGAGAACGATTCTGTGCAGTCTTTTCTGGGAAATCAATCTGATCCCACCACTTTTCCGGCAAGCGCGCACCATTAATTTTTGCCGCACGTTGCAATATTTTATCCGCTTCTTCATACTTATGCTGTGTCACAAGCCATCGTGCACTTTCAGGAACAATCCTAAAATTATCAAAATTTGATATAACGACTTTATTTATAATTGCACTTCTCCACCTTTGTCCTTCTGCAGCTAACTTTTCGAATATTAATTCACATTTAAAGATTCACATTTTGTACTCACCACCAGTAGCACATAAATATCAGTGCAGGTAACGAAATGGCAAGCTGCAGATACCGATAGTCGCGAATGAAATATGCAAGACCTCCCAGAAAAATTTGACCAAATGAAAAAAATATTCCTGATATTACCGAAGCAACTTTTCTTTTGGAAGGCCCAACTAATTCCATACCTGCAACAAGAACACCAGCGGAATATCCCCCCCCCAAAAAAAAAACTGATAAATAAGGAACAGTAATTTGATATTTAGCAAATGATTTATGTAACATGCATACCAATTACAACAGCAATAACGAAAATGCCAGGATGTGCAAATCCGACAGTAGTCCGTAGTAAAGCAAATGCTGTCCAATACGGTACTACTGCCATCAAAACACCAGATATTATTAGCATAATTATCGCGATGAAGAATACTTTTTTACGACCAATCCTGCAACAAATAGTTTTTGGTTAACTTTCGATAACAGCGAGGTCCAATGAAAAATGACATGGTAAGTTGAAATTTCGCATATTAAAAGTGAAAAATACCTGTCACCTAGGAAGCCAAACAGAAGCGAACCACCCATTTGTCCAATATAATATGTTGATTGAATGAATGCTTTCAACACTGACCATTCGCACACGATATTCCACTAAAATATTCTAAGGACTTTAAAATCCAGCTAATATATTTGGCTGATGTCATACATTAAAAATCAGTAGGATGGTAATTGCACCTTAATATTAAAATCCGACAAAATCCATTTCTCAAACGTTCAAGCAGAGAAAACTCTGCCGTATGTTGCTTGCTAAAATAAGCAACCCAAATCGCTGGGAATCTAATTTACCGATGAGATAAAGGGAATAACCTGATACCCATGATGATAAATTCCTTTTAGAAGAAGTCCACAACATCCCAACTGCGTATTTGGTAACAATATCAGGTGATGGGTTACACTGAGTTATTGAGCTATGGGTACTCCTTAAGGTCCCAATGCGAATACTACTGCTTCTTTATTTCGAATCAAGCGTTTTTTACTAATAATTCATTGAAGCCAGTAGCTAGACTCTTATAGTTTAAGAGTAGAAGTTCATACACTACAACTCTGAAATTTAAAATGAGGACTTTGTTCTCCAATTCATTCACATATCACTAGACTAACTATCTAAAAAAAATCTTACTCGATTGATGGCCGAGTACTTGATTTCTGATAAATCATAAATGTATCCACGTCGGCACGTCGAGTCATTACGTAACTGGCATTCTCGATATCTACACCGTGTTTTCTCCGTACAATTTGCTGCTGTTATAAGCAGATCACTCTGTGTCCAATAGTTTGCATCCGATCTTTCATTAGGCAAACGACATCTTAATATTGAAATTTTGAAGAATTAATAAGCTCACTAATCCTTCATTTCGCTGAACGGAAAAAGAATTATGTTGAAAATCTAAAATTGCTAGCGTCGCTTATTTCATTAAATTATTGTTTTGGTAAATACAATGCAGTAGAAAAAAAAAATGGATGCAAGTTTCGCATTTCTACTCTATTAATTTACATTTAATTCACTGCTTTTTAATGGTTCGATAAAGCAGTAAACAGGATTATTAGTGATAAAAATGTTAATAGTGTTAATATATTTCCGTAAAGACGGAAAAATATCTATGAAAATTGCAAAGACGGTAACACCTAGGAAAAACATCCTGCTATGACGTCACCATTAATCAGACGCAAGCCATGCAAGTGTATTCCAAGATCATTTATACCGTAATATGTGACATTTGTTTCGAGATCCATAAACATAAAGTATTGCCAATGAAGAAAGTCATTGGCAGAGTCATAAACTGTCCGGAATTTCCGAACATAATTCCAGCTATTAATACCGATTTTCCCGAACTATCCTCAAAATCATTCATATGGAAGTCTCACTGAAACCAGATCATTCTGTTACCGATCCAGCAGGTAACCGGTTCAATCCCAATTGTTAGTCATTTGAATCATTCCGTTTTTACTTTCAAATTTTCAACACACCCATGCAAAATACAGCGGTTGTTTTTCTGCTTTCAACGAACGATTTTGTTTAAAATTTAGTATTTACATTGTGACTGACTGAAAACTCGTCCACTGACGATGGGTTAACAGAGTTTGATAGTTGCCGAGTAAATTATTTTGCATCCTAGACAACTCGAAAATGTCATGTCAGCTTTTCAAGCGCACAAAGTGAATTCATGTATTGATTTTGTCTTTTCAAATATAACTGTTCGTTTTCTGGAAGTGTATTTCTGAAAAGCTTTCATAGTACAAAATTTTTCAAGAAAGCACAAACCTATGCGGAACAGAGGCAGCACTAAATGTCCACGAGAGTGCATGCATGGAAACAAATATAATCGGCAAGCATACCAATACAAACTGTATTTTTTGATAACGACCAAATTCACCCAGGTTAGTGAACAACAATTCGTCAAATTTCATCTCGAAGTGAACCTCAAATTCAGATCAATAAAAATGTTTCTGCATAATAGTATGACACTTAACATGCAACGATAATACATATATTATGACGTCACACAGTAATTCTATGCATAAACAGCGATTCAGGCAAATAATCTAAATGTGAGGAAAAAGAGTAAAATATTTTAGGCAAAAATTCTCCGAACAGAATACTGCGTTGGAAAGAGATAGCAGAGTTATTATCATGGATAACAACATTACCTTCGCACATTTCTTGAGAAATGGAGAGCGGCAGCCCAGCCCATAGCCATGAAGAGAGGCGGAAGAGACAGTTTGGGTAGAAGATGGCCGAAAAAGATCTTACTGGGCTATCTGTCTTCATTACACTTTTTCCATTCTTGTAAATGAGAGTTCCCATCCATAACTACGTAAAGCATAGCTGCAGATCTTTCACATGCTTCTTGGCTTCGCGTCTCGAAGTCTCCCGTATTGATCAACTACTTTTTTTACTGAACAGAACAAACATCATCGTACATAGAACGCATGGAACAAAGGATATAGTGCAGAATTAGCAGGAAGGTGTTTGCAAGAAGCGTTTGATGAGAAGGAAGTCAAATGCCTCATGCTGCATAGTTAAGATGAACTATGGACGATTTACAGGCTATCGATAGGTCATGGTCATTCGGTTATTCGTTACTATGCCATCTATGATAGCTCTCTTATACTATCAGTCTCTTTCTAACCTCTGTCCAATCACTGTTATCGATTAATTGTTACACTAATAATTGCCATCCACAAACTTTGTACAACACTATCCTCCAACTGCTATTCATTTATATCTTGCAAGGTAGTGGTTTATGATCATATATGCTTTAAATGAATTTATCTGTTGCTTTTCAACTCTACAAACGTCTCTTAATATTTGAAATATGTAAAACAAAAAAAAAAATACTCGATTGTTTTTACAAAACTTTGTATGTGTCTTTAAATTGTCAAATCACTCTATTGCACAAAAAATTCATAACAAGCGTTAGAAGAAACAATTGCTTATAAATCACTCTGTTGTAAACTTATGGACTGATGATGTACTGAATATGGGGACTAATGATATACTTTCACAGAGAAAAGATGAATCAAACTTGGAAGTGAATGTTTTGCGTTCGTTCCCCTTTGTGCAGAAAAAAACGTGAATATAAAGACAAACCTCCTGTTTCATCTTGTTTTTGTTAACTGTACATTCTATAAAGTTCTCTTTTCATCGATTTATGTCAACAGATAGAAAATTTAACCAACTTAATAGTTACTTTGCAAAGAGTGCAGAGTAAAAGAAAAGCCATTGCAGTACTTTATTCGTTTGTAACAAATTAAATTTTGAAAGTGATTCATCAGAAATCAGGTGAAAGTGACGGAAAATATTTGGGGTTCTGCAGATATCAATGAATCAAGTAGGATAATAAACAAGTGACCATCATCATAATAGGCGGCAATGAAATGCACAAATGAATGGATGCGGACAGCAAAACACTTCCAATAGCACTGACGTCAACGATTTCATGATTCGTGTTGTACAGATCAACTATCAACTGACACTGAGTTATACAAAAATCACTGAAAATTTCAATAAGTTTGATTTTTGATGAAAATAATATTTTCATGAGAAGTCTTCTTCAATATAAACTAGAGAACTGAGAGGTCTTGAAAAAACAAAAATCAAATGAACTGGTCATAGACTATTTCAGTTCGCTAAATCGAAATATAAAAAAACCGAGCTTCGTTCATCGTCAGCCTGAAATTAAGCGATGTTAAGTTAACCATCTGATGACTGACACTGTAAATTCGCTCATTTTTTGCAACACTATTGGCTAATGCATTCATGTGGAACGGAACAACGCGTAATAAACAGATTTCTGTACCTATGACTTACTTGACGGCTTTTGAAGAAAGATAATAGTATTTTTGATAAAGCTTATATGTCAAAAATCACCAGCCTTAATCTTGAACGAATTTGTTTTGTTACGTTTTTTAGTCATTTAGTTTTTTCGACCATCACTTAGTAGTATAATGGTTTATGCACGGCTCCAGTTTCCAAGAAAAGATATTTACCATTTATAATGTACAGCTTGATGAAATAAATGAAATGATATGTATCAAATCCGCAATTCTATTTCTTCGCGTTATGAAAATTGAAAAACGAACAATTTTCTGCTTATATATTTCTAATTTATTGTAATTATTATTTTGATTTCAAGAATAAAATATTACAATCATGTGTCTTCAAAAAAAATTGTTTGATAAGGACAGATCTTTGACCTAAATGTTCTTTGAACAATATCATTATATAATTCTTTTATAGCTAATAAGTTCATTCTATGTCAGTGTCGTCAATAAAGTTATGATCTGTTTTCTTTTGTGAAGCAACATGGCAAAAAGGGCATGCACCAGTTTTGAGGCATGCCATTTCGAAATCGTCCGCATGAAACATCTGGAAAAGAAAAATCTGAGGCCACTACAATAAAAATATGGGATAGCTAGTATGACAACGCTGCTGTAGTTAAGCAAAATTAGAAAAACTGAAAGCCTCACTTCCAAAATAATTCATACTTCCAGCAATTTTGGAAAGATCAAGTTTTGGGATTAAAAATAAATTGTAAGTCTAATATAAAAAGTTAGATAAGGTTGACTGTTAAGAAAGAGTGAGTTATCAAATTTTTGACTGAAAAAAATGTATATAAATAAAAGAACAAACACGGTAGCAAGAACTGCACTGAGTTATTGAAATTTCTGGTATAACATTGTAGTAAAAACGAGTGACGAAAGGTGGCGGCCATTCAGCAATTATAACCTGTTGCTTTTCCAATTTAAGCAGCGTTTCACGATCTGCCACAACTTTGCCAGTCTTCAGGTTCATCTGAATATATTTTTTCAATCGATAGGTAATCTATGAAAGAAATCATATTGAAATATAAGGCAAATATCGAAACACGCCAAAAACTAGGTCCAGCTACACTTTTGCTGTTGGCACAAAAAGCCAGACAAGACTAAGCACAGTCTTTCCAAAGGAGACTTATGATACCATCAACTGATCATTTATTTCAATCAATCCATGCTACGACCAATAAACGATTTCTTTTTTCTAACTGACCTGCTCCTGTAAGGGATGTTTAATCTGATCAAGAGGGGGTTCAGCACTGATTAGCTGTCGAGCTTCTTCTAAATTTATATCATCGCTGACAACAAATTCTACAAGAGGTAGAACCTCTGCAAGAATTATTTTTAATAAATATCGTTAATAAAAATTAATGGATACAGCTCATGCTTTCATACAATGCAGAAAAAAATAAGCGATTTATGTACTATGGAACTTTATTAATCAATCTCAAAATTTTTTTTACTGTTTTCAAAACTACAGTCACTGTCGATAATGCTTGGAAGCATGATGCATCATCCATAAGTACTTACCAAATGATAGAAATGATAGAATAAATGGAGTTCTGCAATGTACGCATTCATTAGTGCCAATAAGAGGATTAGAGATGCCACATCTGAAATTTATTGTTAAACAACAAAAATTTGATTCATTGACATTTCACTAATATACACCAAAACCTGAATAAATTTTATGACATCTAATGCCTATGTTCTTTGTTTAAGAACTAATAGCTTATGAAAGTTTTTCAGCATTCACCTATAACACATTGGAAGCAATTCTTCTGCATCGGTAAAAGGTTTCGATCGGATCGTTAGAGCATCTGTTTCGATAAACTTTTCAAAACGACGTGGAATTTTCAAATAACTGAGTTGTTCTAAAGCGTATCGTGCCAATTTGTAGGCGCCCAGTATTTGACCTTGTTTCATTAAAGTATATAATAT